TTTATTGTTATGTTAATCACCATACATTACATCATTAGTTTTTGATGTAGTGTTCCATGATTCATTGTTTGTGCATAACACCCAGTGCTCCACGCGGAACGTGCCCTCTTTAATACCCATCACCAGGCTAACCCATCCCCCCACCCTATCTAATAGGATTTTCAGGAGAAAGCAAAAGCAACGAGCAGGAGAAGATGCTTTCCAGAATCAGAACCATGCCTGGATGGAGGGCATGGCGCTGGCGCCTCTAAGCAGCACTGAAGGTAGGGACACTTGGGGAGGCCCATACAGGAGACCCCCGCCCCTTACCGGTGAGACCTAGGTTCCAAGACCCCAGGAAATGCCCGAAACTAAGAATACCGAACCCTACCCATGCCACGATTTTTCCTCTATGTACAGACCTATGATAAAGTTTAATTGGTATGTTAGGCCCAGTAAGAGATTAACGAAAACCCTAACAATAGTCACCCTGTCCTGTGCTCACCCAGTGAGGTGAGGACGTAAGGGGATAAAACGCCCCCTGAGAAGTGAGCTGAGTGACAGCGTGTCAGGCTACCACTCACCTCCCAACACACGTCCCTGCTTCCAGACCTCGGCTGACCAGAGGGAACAGACCACGAAACGCGGACCCGCAAACGAGGGGGCGCTACCGTACACAGCAGTGCTCGCCCCAGCTGTGGGCAAAGGTGGCCAGACACAGGCACGGCACGTGACTCAGCTATCACAGGCTTCCTTCTGTGACTGTTCTGGAGTACGAACGCTTACAGAAGGGACGATTAGGAATAACCGGTCTGAAAGCTCCACCTCCACGGCCGCCCCTTCGTCCGTGATCGAAGTGACCAACAGAGCGGGCAGGCAGCCCTGACAACGGCTAATTCCCACTTCTCTTCCTCTCTTCTGCACAACAGCGGTCACCTCAGCTACGAGTCCCCACGCTGGCTCACGTCACTCACTCTGTGCAGGTTCATTCTACCGCCAGCAGCCTCCTCGCTGCCATGGCGCCCTCGACCTGGACGGCATCTTGTGCCGAGTCCTCCCAGCTCTTTCAGCGAGAACGCGCTAGGAGTAAACGCTCAGGAGCCTCCGCGGTAGGATTACACTGCCCCTGCTTTTCTGCAACTGAATTAGAGAAACTTACACAGAAGAGAGAGAGTAACATCTACGCTCTTCTGTAGCTTCAACAGTTAACCCTTAGATCCCTCCTCTTCTTTTCTGGAAGCATTATACAGGATCC